GGATCAGGGACTGTTATTTATTATATGGTTTTGGTAGGAGTCACCAGATGGTCTTATTTTCCTTTGCATGCAAGTAGTGTTCAGACTTGGATGGTATTGTAGGTTTTACGATTGTTCTCTGTCTTAATCTCTTTAATTCAAGTCAATGCTTGGGACAGAGTCATATCCTGGGAACCACAAAAAGAACAGGAGTACTTGTGGCACCTTAGAGCCTAACAAATTTATTTGAGCATAAGCTTGGAACATATAGTAAGAAGATATATATACATACAGAGAACAACTTTCACCTTTTCATGTTCTCTGTATGTATATATATATATATACATCTTTTTACTATATGTTCCATTCTATGCATCTGATGAAGTGGGCTGTAGCCCACGAAAGCTTATGCTCAAATAGATTTGTTAGGCTCTAAGGTGCCACAAGTACTCCTGCTCTTTTTGAGGATACAGACTAACATGGCTGCTACTCTGAATCCTGGGAACCAGGCATTGGTGTTTGGGCTGAAATTTCTGAAAGAGGTTTGCCCTCTTGCTGTTTGTAACTACCTCCATTAAAGGACTGGTGTATTAGTGTAAATAAAGCAAGCTACCCTAAGGAAATACCCCACATCACTGATTACTCTGCATCACTGATTTTTTCTCTAATGGGAAACTGATGTGCATCACCCAACATCTGCTATTAGCTGGCAGAGGGCCGACAATATATTTGCATGGCACCTTACATAATGGGGCCAAGATGGCTGAGACATTACTGCAATTTAAATATTTAAGCAAGGAAGATGTTTGATATGAAGGTGATCATTTTATAACAGATTGTTATTGGAATGTGGAACAGTGGCTGAAGACAATGTACATAATGAAAATTTGACCAAAGGCAGAAATAATTAAATTCAGCCACATGTAATAACTAGAAATATATAGTGAATAGCAAAATGAGGCAGGGCATGCCTGACACGGAGGACTGGTTCTCTCCAATCACAAATTCTGTGTGTTTTGCATTGACAGCATCATCCCTATGGGGCCAATCCACCTGTGGAGTAACTATAGAAATAAATGGAGTTGCACCAGGGATGGATTTGGCCTTACACATTTGAAATAAAAAGGTAAGTGTTTTAAACCAACCACAGCTTGGAAGACTCAGATGGAAAACCAGGCATTACAAGTGAAAGTCTTTGCAAGAGGTGGGGAAGACTAGCTTTGAAGCTGAAGATTAAAGTACATATTTTCTCAATACAGCAAATGAGAATGCAACTTGTAGAGGACCAACAGCTGAGGAGAGGGTGTGGGAACCAGAAATACATTCAATGATTGGGAGGTTGTTGAAAATTAAGATCAGGAGAACAGATAATTTGGAGGGCTGCAATTTCTCCTGCTCCTGCGTCCCCCACCTCCTTCATATTCAATCCCTAATTGGCAGCCGACTTGAACAAAGTAAGCAGCAATGACACCCAATACGGAAGGGCAATTGCTTCATTATTAATGTGTGCAAATGCCACACCCTCCTAGTTTAATCTTTATCTGTTTTGATAGGATGATAATTAAATTCAAACACAACAAACAGCCCCACTTTGTCTCTTGCAGGGCGGAGGGCGAGGGAAAGGGGAATCAGCCCCTTAATTACTGTGTGCACAGCACTTTGAAAACGTAAATCACTCGCTAGGTGCTAAGTATTCCTAGTATTATTTATCGGCAGCCCCAGGCCTGGGCCAACTTTGTTTTAGTTGCAGATGCAGGGGAGCATGGACTCTGCCTCCCAGGTGGGAGGGGAGAAAAGGCCAGAGGGGGCCAGCAGCTGGGACACTCCCCCGCCTGTTGGCTTGCTGAGGAAGGCTGGGGAATCTGTCATTGAAAAACGAGCAGTGGGGGAAGAATAGCTTCTTCTAGCCCCTCCCTAGAAAGGCCAGCGGCAGGCCCCCAACCTGACACAGTAGCTGCTGGGCGAGACACAAGGGTGGGTGAGGTAATATTTTTTTTATTGGACTAACTTCTGCTGGTGAGAGAGACCAGCTTCTTCCCCTGCCTCTCCTCTCCTCTCCTCAGGCTGCTCTGCACAGCCCCTGCACGCAGCCTTTGAACCCAGCACTGCTCCTGCAAGTCTCTGAAGAGCTGCCTCCTCCCTCAGTGAGTCTAGAGTTTCCCTCCCCTCCCTCCCGGCTGCTGCCATAGTGATGTGGAAACAGATCGCTCTGTCTCCAGGGGAGCAGCGCGGGGGAAAGACTCCTTGGAGCTGCTGCGGGTAGGGCTGGGAGCGGGGCTGCCCCCTCGGGTTCTGAGTCCTGCCTGCTGTCCTGTGCCTACTAGCTCCTCCCAGGTAATGGGCTCCTGCTCCTTCTCAGTCCCCGCACTGGGGCAGGGAGGGGACACCGCTTTCTCTGCTCTCCTAGCTGCGATTTTCCTGCTGGGAGGATGGGTGAGGCCGTCTCTGGTGAGCAGCGGGGCAGGTGCTTCTGCCCGAGTCAGACCAAGCGAACACTGACGACACTTGGGAAACCCCAGGCCCCTCTGGGTGGCTGAGGCATGAATGGGCTTTGGCTGCCCCATGGAACCAGGAGTGTGCAGCGTGCTTTCTACCGTCCTTGTGTTGGGTAAATAACGTTTGCAAGTTAGTCTTCTCACTGCCCTTCATTTGTCTCCTCCCCCCTGTAGTTATTTCTTGAGGGACTGGAGGACCCGAAATATAAGCATCTGGTGTGTCTTGGACTCAGTGGCATTATTTTTAGGTGTGCTTCTCTCTGCACACACCGCTCTCCCACCAGACTAATGCTAAGGGTGGAAGAAATGTTATGAAAAGATGCGTTACTTGGAAAGTTGGAGTGTTTTGGGGGGTGAAAACCATGTTGCTCAAAAATCCTCTTGTTTTTGCATGACAATAGAGTAAAAGTAGCAGCAGTTTTGAATATGCAACAAAATGAGGGGCAGGCTTGAACTTCAAGCCGTTTGGGCTTAGTCAGACAGCTCTTGCCCATTTCTAGTTAACAAAGCTTCTGTTAAATCGTTAGAATAAGCGTCTCCCAGGCAGACTCAAGCTGAGACAATTTGAATGAGGGGGATTAAAAAATATGAGGAGGATTTTAAGCGTCACATCGAAACACACTCCATAGGGAACAAGATTTTAAAACCTCCATTTAAAATTTTTCCAAAAGGAGGGACTCAACTTCAAAAGTCTGGATCCAATATTTTTAAAGACTCCTAAAAGCTTAAGATTTGGGGTATTTTATGTTTGTTTATAATTTGACACGTGCACTGTTTACTATTTATAGTGTGTTTAGTATCTATTCATGCTAAGGGGGAAATGTAACCATTAAAAAGCTTCATGCACTTTTGAATGTACTGTACTCCAGGTGGCGATAATTGTTTATATGTGAACGGGGTGGGGGAGGGTTGGTACATTTACAAGTGGGGCTTCTCCCTTTAATATTCATTGACCTGCCAAGTGTGGAGAGGTGATGGGAATGGCTTGTTTAAACCCTGTGAACGGGGAAGCTTTCTGACTTCACGCTGTGCCTAAGTGCTTCTTCCCGGCTTCTCTGGTTGCTAGGGGGCTTTTACTTCCTGTTTCAAATTAGCCTTTAAAGTTCACATGACTACTTGAGACCAAGACCTTACCCTCTGAAGCTTGGTCTATTTTTTTTTTTTATTTTTTTTTAAATCGTAAGGAGCAGATTTCACGGGTACTTCAAGCGTAGTACCTGTTCTTATCAGTTTAATATCTGTACATTTCCTACTTTCTTTTATTTTATGGCCAAGACCCAGGTATCGAGGAATGGGCTATTTCTGATCCCACTGGCCCTAGCAAAATTTGACAGTACCAAGGAAACTTGTCATTGCTCTCATGGTAAGGGCAGTAGCTGCTTAAGGTTGAGGGTCCCTGAACTTTTTAAATTAATTGTTTACCACCCTTGTTTAATTTCCATCCCTCCCAGCACCTGTGGATAGTATATGAACCAAAAGGTCAGGAAAGCACAACCCAGTGAACCCTAATTTGTCTGTTTGTAGTACATGAAGCACAACACGTGCTGCTTCCTCCCGTGCTCATCTGCATCACATCCCACCATCAGCTGCCCTAGGTCATTCTTCTAACAGCACATCATCAGGACAGGCTTTTATATGTCATTGCCTACTTTTTTACTGCTTCAAATACCTGCTTGTATATTTTTCTTTTATTAGAGAAAATTACATTGCTGTAGATTTGACTGACTCAGGCTTCTCTGCCAAGGAAATTACAAGATACTTGAGTGTCTTGCATTTATTACTTTAGTGATACTCCATGCATGAGTAAAGTGATCAAAGTTTGGCCCTTGGATAGCAACAAACATGTTCTATTGTTGTTGTATTACGTCAACAATATTCTAGGAGTAGGTGGCACATGATAGGGAATTTGTAAGTCTGAAGGCATTCAGTCTTTTTGATGCAGGTCTTTCACCTTGGTTGCATATATGGTCATGTGTCTTGGAATTCAGGAACTTAGTATTGTGATGAGAAAAATGGCTGGATCTCTCTCTCCTTTCTGCCCCCCCAGAATAGTATTTTTTTTAAGTTTCCATTTTGCTTCAAGTTAAGTATAAAAGAAAGAGCAAGGCAAGTGCTGAAGCATCTGTCATTGTGTTTCAGTCTTATAATTTTGTTTCTTGCAATAGTTCGTATAATGTAATGTGCTTTAGAGGTGGGACTATATTTGCTTAAAATGTATTGTTAAACTGGGTAGAATAACTCACATAGCATTACAGTATATTTGCTCTGCTAAGGTAGGTTTGATTATTTGAGTCACATAAACAAAAACATATTTAAGTTAAATTGGTCTTTTAAATAACTAAACAGAACATAAGTATACCTCTTGTTGTTTAAAGTGAACTATTAACAGCTTTTCCCCGAGCCCCATGATATAGCTTTGTTTAGTTAATAGTCCTTGATTTTATTCATAGGGAACCATGTCTCATTTCATAGGGAATTTTGTGGGGGGGAAAATGGCTAACTGCTGGCTTTGTTTTCTTGATGCAGGCAGTGCAGTCTGAAGAGCTCCGCTACAGTTCACACAGTAGATGTGAAAACAAGGCAAGAAGAGGTGCAGTAGATGAAGGGCTGGGACCTGGGACAACTGAGGAAAATGGTATTGTGGATCTGAGCCATAGCACCTTCTGCCCTCATGCTAATGGCACTGAAGACATGACAACATTTCAGAATGGCTGCGGAAATGGCACCACTGTTACCTGTATAGTAATGGATAATAAAGAACCAAGAAGTATAACTAGCAATGGGGGATGCAATAGCAACAACAGTGCTGAAGAGGAAATACAAGATGACCATCTCAGCCCTTCAAAAATCATGCGCTTTTTCTCTACCCCTAGGAAACGAACTACCTCCAACTCGGAAAGGCCTCGTTCTCTGATTGTGATGGGCAGCTCTTCAACGTGGAATGCTTTGTCTTCCATTAGAAAAATGGGATCTTTCAAGAAATTAAAATCTTCAGTTCTTCAAGGAATTCAGGCCAGAGAAAGCTCAGATGTCTTAAATGAGAACACTGTGGGAAAACATGTCTCGAATGGTGCAGTGGTGAGAGTTCAGACTAACCGGTATTCTTATTCAGGGCCTTTACATGATTCCCATAATGCAGTGGATGGTTTGGCTTCTGATTGCTCTGATGTAGAGGAAAGTGATGATTCCTTCCTGAGGAATACTCACCGATCACGCAGTATCAGACGCGCCTATGGTGTTGGCCGCATCAATTTATTAGACACCGATAAAATTCAGAGTCAGCAGAACTGCACGAGGCCAACGTCTCCCATCACCCAGGAGCCAAAGATCTGTGAAATTTTAGTGAAAGATCCTGAAAACAACAGGATTATCTACAGGAGAAGCAAAAGCACAGATAGCTTAAACTTTCTGAAAAAGAGCTCGTTCAAACGAAAGTCCACCTCAAATCTCTCTGACCTCAAGATTGCAAGTGAAAAGCAAGTGCCACAAAGGACAGGAAGCACTTCCTCTGCTGACTCCGACAAAGCCAGTGGAAACCCAGAGAGACGGTCAAAACGCTGGAAGAGCCCTATCAGAGCAAAGGATTTTGACAGAGTTTTGAAACTTGTAAGCAATGTTACAGATGTTGCATGGAAGAAAGATGGTCCTAAGAGCACGATGACTCCTCTGAATGAACAAAACCAGAGAACAAGGCCAAACAGCAGACTACATGACGACTACTCCCGCAGGGTTTCTAGTAGCAATGAAAATGACAGACGGAGGTGCATTTCCCCTGTGTGCAGTCCAGATTCTACCTTTTCTGGAACGCCGCATCTTCATAGTCCAACTGTTTCTCAGGATACAGACACTGAAACAAATGTATTTACTGGTGAGACCAACAGCTTCAGGACATTATCATGTGTCTTAGATGATGTCCGTTCCTCACACGCTTTTAACGACTTTAGTGCACTTCCTAATGAAGTGTTTTATGAAGACTCTGATGAACCAAAAAGTACCAGCCAGTTTACGTGTGAATCTGAGCAGCCTAGCATTCCTCTTAGGCCCACTGCCCCTAAACCTCAGAGCCCCAGTGCTGAGAAGGTCAAGTGCAATATTAATTTCCATTGCCCGGATCGTCACAGTACACTGTCACTGAGCTCAATGGAAAGCGAGGAAAGAGTTGAGTTACCTGCTCCGAAGCTGGGGAGAAATCCTGTTTGCCTCCAGGACTCAGTGCAAACTGGGTACTATGATGATGGAAATGAAGACAGTGGCATAAGCAGCCACTCTCAGCTGAGCCTCAATTTAGTTTCTGGTACCGAAGAAAAGAAGGAAGAGGTAAGAAGGAAAGCAAACCCCACTATATGTTAGATGTTCAGTTGCAAGGTTTGTTTTTATTCATACAAAAATGACAACCTGAATGCTAGGAGCTGTTGCAGCTTGTTACTGCTAAAATATGCTGACAGCCAGCAAGCAATGATTTTTTTTAAATTTATTTAAATACCAGGTTTGGAAGCTAACATCAAATTATTTTTTCCTGTGCATGTTAATATTAAAGAAAGTGTTGGCAGCAAAGCTGCTCAAGTACATTTTCAAGGGCAGTTTATTATGGCCTGCGGTTATACCACCTTGTGATGTGATCATGTTGGATTTTACCAAGCTAAGCCAGGACTGGCTGGGTCAGTTCTTGGCTGGGAGATTGCTGAAGAACACTTAAGTGGTGCTCCGGGCAGTCATGTTAATTCAGTAGGTCGCACTCTTCCCTTGGACCAGAAAATGTTAATGTTTGTAGAGCACAAAGGGGTTGAAAAGCACAACATAAATCAAACCTCTAGTTGTTTTTACTGTGCATTACCAGCAATGATTGTTGGTAAATTAATGAAATATTTGGAGGCATATTTCAAAAGCAGTCAATTATTTTACCTGTAGTTGTCTATTAATGTTTTTAAAATGATGCTATTAACTATAATTGATTTCATTGCACCTAATTAAAAACTTACCACTATCAATGGATGTGGCCAGTTATAGTGCTTCATTTTTGAGTAAATGGGACACAGTTAAGGTCTTATGTACAGTGTGGGTTTTGCACTAGGCTGAATCAGTGCAGAAATCTAGTGTAGACATCATGCACCTGTTTAAACTGTGACTTACCTCACTTTCAAAGTACAACTGGTGCAAGTCACAGTTTAGACTGATGCAGCCCATCTGTGCTAAGGGTATACAACTACATTGGTTTAACTGCACCAGAGCCCCCAAAAACAAAACAAAAACATTGTACATAAGGTCTCTCCCTTTTGTATCCCAGATGAAAAGTTTATAAAATCAGAAGATTATATGTTCTGCTGCCTCCTGTTTGTCAGAATGACCATTATACTTCTACAAAAATGTGGAGTGCCGGCATTAATTATAAATCACAAAAATCTCAGCTAGTCAAATTATAGATTTGAGATGGGTGAGGATTTCTTATGTTATTGAAGCCTGATGCATTTTGTAAAAAGTGACTGTAAATATTCATTATAAGCAGCATCTTTCTTCTGGACAAAGTAATACAATTAAAAATAGGTTAGATTACTGTGATACTCAGAATTGTGGTAAAATTGGGAAATATGTACTATATATGCATCAGGGCCGTAGAAGAGTTTCTCATTAGTTCTTGGGATGACAAAACCAGTCCGCTTCATTCTGCAGTTTTCACACCCGGAGTGCTCATGCAGAGATGCTTTTTAACAGCCTGGAGACATGAGAATGCTAATGTATGTCAGTTGCATTTCCTGGAAACTATATGTAGCAGTTAAATGACAGAATTAATGCTACTTAACTGCCATCTAGTGGTGAACTATAACCATGATATCATCAAGCATTGAATCCAAACTCCTGCCTTCTCCTCCCAAAATAACTTGGCACTGCTGTAAAGACATGGGTTTTGATGTATGTGTACATCAGACATATAGGTTATTACTAAATATTGTATTATGTCCTGTTTTCTGACACTTATCTAAAAATAACCAAATCTCGGTGTTAATATTGACTATGATTTTTACCCGTGAGGATGTGGACTACTACTGTGAAAACTGTGAGTTTTCTTTGCAGTTTATCTCCTTCAGTTGTCTAAACTGAAATGCACACCCTGCACTAGTGGTAGTTATGTATTTTGAGACACATCAGATGGTGATACCCACGAGAGGAAGATGAAGAACTCAGGAAAATCCAGTGGAGTTTCTAATGGCCCCCTCAGCCTCAGGGCATTCAACCATTGGCTTCTCTGCCCATGCCTGCACAAAGGAAATGTTTTTGTGCCTTTTGTGAGGAGGATACAGGCATGGAGCGGAAGCTAATAATGCAAGGAGCAATGTTAACTTGGTGGATACCTGGATACAAATTGTGCATGGAACCTGCCGTCCACGGCGAGTGGAAACTTTCTCTTCTCTTCCTATCTGCTCCCCACCTCATCCAGAGCCATAAAGCCATAGTCCACGAAAGCTTATGCTCTAATAAATTTGTTAGTCTCTAAGGTGCCACAAGTACTCCTGTTCTTCTTTTTGCGGATACAGACTAACACGGCTGCTACTCTGAAACCTGTCATAAAGCCATAGTCACTTCGAGGTTTGGTCTACACTACCAACTTATGTTGGTATAACTACATCGCTCAGGGCGTGGATTTTCCGCACCCCTGAGTGATATAGTTATACCAGCCTAACCCCCGGTGTAGACAGTGCTATGTCAAAAGGAGGGCTTCTGCTGTCAACATAGCTACTGCCTCTCAGGGACATGGAGTTCCTATGCTGACAGGAGAAGCTCTCCCATCAGCATAGATAGTGTCTTCACTAAGTGCTACTGTCAGTGTAGACAATCCCTGAGTTGCCATGGATGGGAGGGAGAGCATGCTCTGCTCTGTTCTCTCCACATTTCCCAGCAGAGTGGAGCTATGGCATCTGCTTTGTGCCCAAGTTTACAGTCACCTCAGATGTCAGAAATATTTTAAATCTGTGCTTATTCAGCCAGTAGGCTCAACCCTAAATGCCACGTGACGACATGCTGGTTTGAACTTTTGACTGGGATTCCTTCATAGCTTTGCTTTCTACCTCTCCATTACAGCATTGCATTCTCTTCCCCCCCTCCCCCCAAAAATGCCTTTGTGGCAGTTTCAGAGCATTCAGAATAAGCTATCATTTAAGATATAACTTTGGATAGCACGAGTACACAAATCTTAGGATGGAGTCCTAATGATAAATACAACACGCTGATGGGCAATCCTCCAAAGGTTCAGAGTTTCACTGGATCTTATCTGTACACTTATGCAATGCATCCATTAGCATTCTGTGGTCACATCTACATAATTAAATATGCAATACACATCATGCTGAACAGAGATAGGCCCAAGCCAAAACCACAGAGCCCCAGCAAACTTGGGGAAAGTTCAGATCCAGATTTTGACTTTGTGGTACAGTCCAGTTTGAATCTTATACAGACTCCATCTAAGCGTAATCGACATGTTCCTTTGCCTCAGGCCCCAAACTGTTCCTAGGTAAGTTTAGTTTAAGATAAACCCCTGAAAGTTACCTAAATGCTTGTTACCTAAATTTTTTGGGTTGACCTTTTAGGAAGGTCAAAACACCTCAACGGATAGTTTTATGTTGAGGAATTGCCTTGATATGGGGCAGAGGGAATGAGATACCTACTTGGATAACCTGTTTGTCTTCTAACCAACAAATCTGCATCATCATACTTAGTAGCACTATTGCTCATAGCTCTGCTGCAGCCTTTTCTGGATCTATTCTTCTTTCTCTTTCCTTCTCCCAGAAGTTGGGTGACAAGGACATAGCGCACTTATCCCAAATGTGTTTTTGTTTGAAGTGAGTTATGGGTGATCTAAGCCCTGAGACTACAAGCTATTCTGTAGGGGCAAACTCTTGCACCCATGAGGAGCCCCTTGAAGTCAAATGTTAGCCTGTGCAGATCAGCATGAAGGATTGGGGGTCTACTCAGCTACTAAATTCAGGAAGCAGAAGGTTGAGACCATTTTACTTTATTTATTTTTTTAAGGCCTTGTTTTGGGTGCTCCCTAGAGCATGTATCCTTGTCAATTTCACTACAGATGTCCACTGTCTTTGGTTGTTACTCTCAGTGGAGCAGTAAGGGCTACCCTGGAAACCCCTACTCCTGGCAGTCCTTACCCAAGTACTTCCAACTAAGCTGAGGGGCAACTCATGTTTGGCTAATGTAGATTAACTATAGTATTAAAAACAGAGTACTTATGTGAGCAAATGTTTGCAGGGTCTGTCCCTTAATGAAAGAGACTTCCTTGGTGTCTCTACATTTCCAATCTGACCACCTTGTTTCTCTTAAACTCAGCTGAGTCCTGTGTTCTTTTTAGCCTTCTCCTTTTCAAAGGACTGGCAAAAGTTGTTTAAAGGTCAAATAGCCAAGTGTTGGGGTATTTCTACACTACAGTGGCACCGTAGTATAGCTGCTTCTTGTATTGACAGAAGGGGTTTTTCTGTTGATGTAGTTAATCCATCTCTTTGAGAGAGGATAGCTAGATTGACAGAAGAATTCTTCTGTCAATCTAGCTCATCTATGATGGGGGTTTATGTTGACCTAACTATGTTCACAGTGTGTAAAATTTTTCACAGCCCTGAGTGTAGCTAGGTTGATCTCATTTTTAGGTGTAGATCAGGCCTTAGTTGCCCTACCCAGTCAATTAGTAAGTACTTACCAGAGAACTAGCAAATAAACTTCATGAAACTTTGTTAATCTATATCTGTGACTAGAACTGAAAATTAAGACCTTGTCTACACATGCAAATTGTCCTGATTTTAACTAAATTGGCACAACTCCCCTGTGAGAACACTTAAATCAGCTTAAGAATGCCTTATGTTAATTCAGCTTTAGTCAGTTTTTTCAGCTATCACGGAGTGACTTAAGAGTGTCCATACAAGAGGATTGCACCAATGTAACTAAATCTGTTTAGTTAAATTGGTGAAGTTTTTGTGTGTAGGCAAGAGCTAAATTCCCCCCAGATATCAGGATTTTGCTGCCCTTGCTGAGATCTAGTTTCCTCTGCATTATGCTTTTCTATAGCACTTGTAACACACATTTTGCTTTCAGCTGGCATCAATAGATTAAGTATGATGATGGGTTTGGAATATTTCCCATGCTCTTGTCCTCCCTAAAGACGAGTCCTATGGAAGATGTGGAAATGACAGAAGTGTTAAATGACTTGTTTGTTTTAGTTTTCACCAAAAAGGTTAGTAGCAATAGTGAATGCCAGTGGAAAATAAGGTGGGATCAGAGGCTAAAATAAGGAAAGAACAAGTTAATTTTTAACTTAGACAAGT